GTGCCAGCATGCCCAGCTAATTTTCTGTATTTTTAGTAGAGACGGGGTTTAACCATGTTGACCAGGATGGTCTCGATCTCTTGACCTTGTGATCCACCCGCCTCAGCCTCCCAAAGTGCTGGGATTACAGGTGTGAGCCACTGTGCCGGCTTACTTTTAAATAAGTAGCATGCACTACAGTTAGAATAACCATGTAGAATACTTTTGGAAAGAAATTTGAAATTGTACTCCAAGAGTCTTAAGCAAATGGATTCTCCTGGAATCAAGAGTCCTACTCCGGGGATCTATCCTAAGAAATAATTCTAAAAAGAAAAAGCTTTACATATAAATTTGGCATTGCATTAATTATAGCAGCAAAACCAGAAAACACCCTACATTTCTAGCTCAGAGGCAAGTATAGGTAAACCAACATACATCTGTGTGATGGAATCACAGCCAACCATGACAGGGTCACAAACTCTTTAAGAATGCAGAAAGTGGCCAGGTGTGGTGGCTCATGCCCTGAGCAGGTCCTGGCTTCTTTGTTCCCAGGGAAAACAAAATACCTTGCTGGATTTCGTTTTGTTTTTAAAGAGATGGGGTCTCTGTCACCCAGGCGGGAGTACAGTGGTACAATGCACAAGTTGGAGGCTCACTGCAGCTTTCAATTCCTGGGCTCCAGTGATCCTGCAGTCTTAGCCTCCCAAGTAGCTGGGACTGCAGGTGCACACTACCACACCTGGCTAAGGTAAAGATTAAATGAGAAAACATATGAGCTCAATACTGGACAACGGTTATTTTCCTACAACAGTGCCCAGAGGTGTCTATATCTGAGTGGTGCTGCCAGACTGCTCACCACATCCTGAGGTGGGTCCCGTATCACCGCCATCCTCCATGTGGAGAGACAAGGCCACAGGCACATAACATCATGACTTAACCACCTCATCTGAATTCTCTGAACACATAAGACATTCTCTAAGTCTCGTGATGGGAGACAGGCACCAGTTTTAATCCTCTGAGTGCACACTTAACCTGGAGCCTTAGTGAGCCCACGGAGGAGAATGAGGACAATGTCAACACTTCCCTCTCAGGGTTACTGTGAGGATCAGAATTGTTTCTAAAGTGCTCAGCACGGCAATAGATAATCAATGAGTCATATAATTATCACCAGTGTCTGGATAAAACCCATTAAAAGTGCAAGACAAGTAGAGCAAATTTACAGCTTAGTTGCTATGGCCATCATCACAGAGAAGAGATAAATAAGACATGAGTTCTCCAGCTTGCACAAAGAATAGGGACAAGCATCACTTGTGTCTGGTGAGAAGGCTGGCTACTGCTGAGCTAAGGACAAGGCCCAGTAGATGGGACGTGTGAAGAGGATCAAGACAGCAGCAAGCTGATTTGATCTGGCAGTTTCAGGTGCTGGTCTGTGATGGTGAGACCTGTATTTCCACAAGCTGGGCCTTCTGAGCTCAGCCTCTGCATTAAAAGAAATGCTGAGCTTCAAGCTCCTCTTGGAGTTTGTCAGCTTTGACCTACTCTAGGAAGCACCAGCCAGCAGCTTCTCCTGGGGTTGGCCCGTGCAGTTCGATGTTCCTTAGGTTTTTTGGAAATCAAGTCTGATTGACGTCAGGAGCAGCAAAGCCCATCCCATGTAGTTGTACAGCTTTCCCAGTTCTACTCAGGCTGTGGTGGCTGTTCCCTTGCCACTGAGAAAAAAGGACTTGACTAATAGCCGAACACCCTAACAGCAATTCCAGTGGGTGTCCAAGTAGTGTCTTCTTTAAGGCAACTCACATATGGTTAGGAAAAATAAAACTTTAGAGTTCTTTCTTCTAGTAAACCAAATGATATGCCTCAGGTTTTTAAGGTGACGAAAAGAGAGGTCAGTAAAATTTTCCCCAAGAAGGAAAGTGTGCCTGGGAGCTCCTGCATGGGGGGCTGTGGTGGAAGAGTGTTGGTTTGTAGCTTTGTCACCCTACAGGCTTCCAGATGTGCAGGAGGGTGTCAGATTTGAGCAATTTTTACACAGCAAAGGTTGAGGGGTGAAAAGAGGGCTCAGGATTCTTGCTGACAGTGAGCCACGCTCTGGATGAAGGCAGCTTCTGCCTGCCCTCAAGCTGCCATCTTGGTTCCTGGCAGGTCACTCTTCATTCTGCCTCTATGCCTCACTGGGGGCCATGAGCTTCCAGTGGCTGGGCTGCCCATGGACAATGTCCACCACAGATAGGTGGGCATGGAGGTAGCTCCCCTGGCTGTGGCAGCTGGAGGTGGAAAGGAACATAGTGAGCTTGAACAAAACCATCTCCTCCTCTTTGCTTCACAGCCTCTTGATCTTCATCTTCAGAATTCCAAGGATAAAACATGATTAATGTCAGGAGGCCCCTTTCTCGGTCCATGTTCTGTTGGCCTGTGTACTTTCCTCCTCCCCATACAAGCCCTGGGATGGAAGCCAGGGTGTAAGGGAGGATTGTTTTGTCTTTGGGAGAGAAGGGCTATAGAAATTGTTCTGTTATCTTACTTTCCTAGACACTAATGGATGTACACTAAACATTACAACTTTGAAAACAGTGAGCTACACGGTAAACTGCATCAAGGCAAATTCTACTACTTTTTCTTCTTTCCTCAGCAAACTGAAAAGACAAAGTGGTGAGCTAAAAGTGAGAGGGGAGGGGCAGTAGTAGAGAAGGAAGTAAAATGCCAGAAGCCAACCTGAGAGCAGTCCCGGTCTCAGCCCCTCTGCTCTCACACTCCTGGCCATGTGGCAAGTCACCAGCGCTGCAGACGCCTATATCAGGAATAATTAAATCAAATTAATCTCGAGAAAAGGGCTTTAAATATTCAAAGTCCCATTAATCCTCATGTCTTGTAATTAAATATGTATGTTAAGAAGGCTGGACAACAGCAAAACATTTTCAAAATGTGAATTCCTTATATTTGGAACACTATAATGATTTCTAAGTACTGACTTCATAGAAAACTATGTAAAAAATCCCATGAAGAGCACACTGCAAAACATGGCAGCAAGAATGTAGATACGATCTTAGTCCATACTGAGCTTTGAAAAATGTGTCTGGATAAACATCTTCACTTTTAAAGCTCCACACAATTTAACCAATGATAATCTCCTCTGTTTTTAACTCTTTCTGATCTTTGCTCTTTCAGGTTGTGGGGAATAGCAGCCCTCACGTGAACCTTGGGAAAGTCCTTGGCTTCTGCAGAACTGGGTCCTCTCTTCTATTTCTTTCCTTGTTACTGAGCACAGCTTCATGTCAATCTTCCAGGGATAGCCTCTCTTTGGTAATCAGCCACTAAGGAGACTGGTCATCCCTACATGCTGTGTGTCCTGGATGAAAGTTCCCCAACCTTCCTTTCTAAAATGGAGTGTGGGCTGGGCACGGTGGCTTACACCTGCAATCCCAGCACTTTGGGAGGCTGAGGTGGACGGGTCACCTGAGGTCAGGAGTTTGAGACCAGCATGGCCAACATGGTGAAACCCTACCTCTACTAAAAAAGCAAAAATTAGCTGGGTATGGTGGTGCACATCTGTAATCCCAGCTACTCAGGAGACTGAGGCAAGAGAATCGCTTGAACTCAGAAGCAGAGGTTGCAGTAAGCCGAGATCGTACCACTGCACTCCAGACTGGGCGACAGAGCGTGACTCCATTATAAAATCAGTAGATAAATAAAATAAAATAAAATAAAATGGAGCATGCTTCTCAAAACTGTTAAGAACACCGCTGCTGCCAGTGTGGTCTCTGTAGGAGCTTCTGACACCTCTGTCAAACAGCCCTTACCTGTCATAGCCTCATTTGCTTCTCACAACCACCCTGAAGGGAGCTGTGACAGAAAACAGCATCCCCGTTTCTCTGATGAGGAAAGTCAGGGCAAATGATCTGCAACAGTCACACTGTAGTGGCTTAGAGTCTGTATGTTATCTGTTCTCTGGTTAAGTGCTGCTTAACCATCAGTGCCTTTACGAAAGCTGAGGCAGGAAAGCAAAATCTGTACAACGCTCACCACTGTTCCTGAACTGATGTTCTAAACCGTGGCTCAGTTAGAAGTGCACTTGTCAATTATTTCTTTTTTTTTTTTTTTTTTTTT